CCCTGCTTTGCAGTGTGGCCAGGGCACTGGCGGTGCCAGGGGAGGTCACCCGCCACCTTCCACACGCATTCCTGAGGCTGGGGCTCCTCCCCCCCCAAGACACTCCTGGGGGTGATGGGATCACGGTGGTGGTGGGGCCCCGGCTGGCCGTGAGAGTCCGTCTGCCCACCCACCCGTGCGGGGGAGGGGCGCGCCCACAGCCATGGCAGGAAGGTAGGCTCCAGTGGCCTCTGGACTTTCCACCCTGGGCCACCAGAACCCTTCTGAGAGCCACCCCAGCCTTTCCTTGGATACTCGAATGAGCCTCTGGGGGACCACACCACCCCCAGCTGAGCAAGAGGGCAGGTTCTGGTGCCAGGGGGCCGACTTCCTGTGGTCAACGTGAAAAGGCGCCCAAAGTCCAAGTCCTGAGAGCCTTGCAGACACCCCTTAGTGGGTTCTTCTGTCCACGCAGAGGGGGCGGCCCAGCCCGGGCTCTGCAGACCCACAGGCGCCCCTGCCCCACGCCTCAGAGGGTCAGCCGCACAGGAAAGAAGCCACTTTGCAAAATGCTGTCCAGATGGCCCTGGGCAGAGCAGGCAGCAGCCTGCTCTCTGGCACCTGGCCCACCACAGAGGACACTCATTGGTCGGCCTGTCCGAAAGGGTGCCACCCTTGTTACTTGGGCCTCATTTCTTCCTCCCTCCAGCCTCCTGGTTCTGGTCAGGACTTCCAGAAACAGGGCGCTGCTTTTGCCACAAGAGAGGGAATGCGGCATCCGAGGCTAAGAACCACAGTCCCCTGGCCACAGCCACCGGTGGGCCAGGGTCACAGGCTAGTCCAGAGGGGTCTTCCCAAGGAATCTTCTTCCTGGATCCAGAGGGACAAGCGTTCTTACAGGGAAAATCCAGGAGACAGAGGATGGGAGTTGGATTGGGCCTGAGGCTGTGTTCCCTCTGTTCTGGAAAAAGCCCACCTACAGGGGTACTGAATGAGGCTGGCACCGCGAGAAAAGCACAGAGTTTGGGGGACAGGAGAGAGAGCATGAGACGGACCTATGACCTATGATGGGGTGCCGAACCCCTCACACCCTGTGGATTTCCCCATGCTCCACAAGCCAGATCAGGATCCCCCAAACATCCTGTTGACAACCCACTTCACACTGCAGTCCACACACATACACACACCCCCACAGGCACATGTTATGGCCATATGTGTGTAATTTTCATGAAACAGTGCTATACCCTTATTAAGTATGATGCATTCTGATACTTTCCATTCTGTCCCTCAACACCTTCTTTCATAAGTGCTGGGACCCACGAAGTTGATTTTATGACACAATGACCTGCAGGATGAAAACGACTGAACTGGAAACAGGTTTCAGATCCATGTCTGTTTTTGCCCACGCCGGCTCCTGCTGGGTCTGTCGCTTGTGGCCCAGAAGGGCGCCCGGTGCCTGGCCAGGCTGCCACCAGAGTGGGTTGGCTAGCTCACTCGTTCGTGCATCATGGACGTGCACTGAGGGCTCCCGAGACGTGCTCTCATGGTGGGAGAGCTGGGAGCTGCACAGACTGAGCTTCTAACCCGACCCCAGCACCTAGCGGGGGTGTCAGGCACGGCACCTCTGGGAGGTGCTCAACCCCACGGGCCTCGGTCTTGGTGACTCTAAGCGGCCTTGTGCTCCCCGCCTCTAGAAGGACCCAGTGGACGAGATGAGACCGTGCAGGAAACATTCCGTGAGGCTGTGGTTTAGAAAAAGAAATACCTATATTTGGTCTTGAACCTTTGGACTTTCCTCAGCGATGAGAGCAATAAAGGCGCCTTGTGTTAATAAGGGGACTTTTGGAATGTTCCTGCCTCACCCGAGGGTGGGGGCTGGTTGCCGGGGGGAGCCAACCAGGTGATTAGAGGTTGGATATTTCAGTCCCGCACCTCCCTCACCACCTCTGGGGAGGGGCGACAGGCTGGAGGTTTGAGTTCAGGTGCTAAGGGTCATTGGCATCATCAGCGGTGCTTGTGGGAAGGATGGGGTTGGGAGAGCTTCTGGTTGGTGAACACGGGGCGGGGGGTGCTGGTGGGAGAGCGGGGCCCCTGGAGAGGGTGTGGGGGCTCCAGGCCCCTCCCCATGCCTGGCCTGGTGCATCTCTTCCATCTGCTGTTCCGAGTCACGTTCTTTATGAGGAGCTGGCCACCCAGGAAGTAGGACATTTCCCTGAGTTCTGTGCGCTGTTTGAGCTACTCGAGCAAATTCACCGAACCCGAGGACGGGGGTCACCAGAACCTCACAGGTGGTGACACCAGGACTTGAGACCTGTGTCTGAGGTTCGTGCATGTTGCAGGACTGAGGCCTTCGCCATCGGCATCTGACACCATCGCAGCGTTGACTTAAATGGCAGGGCCCCCCATGGCGCCAGAGATGTGCTTGGTTGTGTGGGGAAAGGAACCGAACAGTGGAATCGGGCACAGAATGGTCTGTTCCCAGACACCCCATGTCCCACCCGAGGCAGTTCCCATCCCCCACCCCACATCACAAAAGCATTTCTTTCTAAATGCAGGCAGGAGAAGGAAGGGGAACATGCCGTCAAGAGTCTCTCAAATCGCCCGTGAAAGGTGCATCTGGTGTGTATAAAAATGAGAAGGATGGCAAGAGTGGGTGACGGTCTTTACCATGCGAAGATATAAACTCATGCAGCCCCTCCAGACCACTGGGAGTGGGTGCAGTGGTGCTGCAGGGTTGTTAAGACAAAGAGCAGGGGCCCGGGACCCAGTGGCCAAGGGGCCAAGTTCAGTGCCCTCTCTCCTGCTCCACTCCGCCTGCAGAATTCCAGCTGCCAAATGCCGGGGCAGAGGGCACCTGTGCTCCATTTGGCCAGTCATGCTCTCTGGGCAGCGCAGCCCTATCCCTAACTGACCTGGGCAGGGAAAAGCAAAGAGACGCTGGACTCCACTGAGAGGACAGTCTCTGTTCAGAGGGTCCCCAAGTGTGGGAGGCCCGATGCCAGGGCCAGAAAGGCCCCTGTGAATCCTAGCTCCGTGGCCCAGCCTGTCATTCCTGCTCACAGTGCTGGAGGGGGGTGTCAGTTAGCCCCCACCCCTTGCAAAGCCATGACCCGCTGAGCAGGCACACCTCCTGCAAAGCAGCAGCCCCCCATGTGGCCTCACGTCGGGCCAGAGAGAACATGGGGACTTGCTGGCCTGTAACTCTGAGTGAACCCCATGGCACATGGTCTCTGCGTGCACACACACAAAAGTGTCAGCCCCTGGCTGCATAATCGGCTCTCCCCCACAGACTCGGAGTCCAGAACTGGCTCTGCTGCTCCTCAGCTGCAGGAACACCGGCAAGCCACCGACCACCCTGAGGTCTCAGATTCCTCCTCTGCAAAATGGGCGAATCAGGACCACAGTGGTGTCTCTGAAATCATGGTGGCCAGATATGACTCGGACACCGGCCTGTAGTGTCTGCGGCATTATGGATGAGATGAAATTCACACACGGACTACAGAGTCCTGTGGAACAAAAGGGGATGACACGGCTACTCTCTCAAGGGGAGAGCGCCTGGGAGTGGCCTGGCCACACTCTCAACAGGAGAGTGCCCCGACCCTTGCCTTGACAAGCTTTTATTGGGTTCAGTGTGCACAGGAATACAGGGTGTATATATAAAGCTCATTAATCATTGTCAGGCAGTAAGGATCAAACAATAAATAGCATACAAAGAACTATAAGGGCTTATTCTGAGTCACCACAGTCTGTTAGCTAAAGGGCTACACAACTTTGGGAAACGATCTCATTTCCTACTCGGACCCTGATCATTTAACTGAGTGCATTCTTAGCAAAGCAGGTCTCACAAGAGTTTATATATTCTTTCTCAGGCCTGATCACCTGGGGAGCACGCTCTTTTCAGCGCAGGGCTGCACCACCCTCTGTCATTGTTTCAGGCTTAAGTCAGGCAGGGGAAAAAGGCAGCCAAGAGATTAGGAGACTTCTTGGAAACAGAATGAGGACTCAGGCTATGTCAAAGCTGAGGGGCAAGGGTCCATCACCCCCTTTTTCTATAGCCACTCAAGTCTTTCCCTGGGGGCCCCTGTGATCATGCCTGTCTTAGATCATTCCTCTCTTGAGGAATCTTACCCATCATTGGCTAACTGATCAGGCACTGGGGGTCAGGCAGGGTCAAGTAAAAGGGGCAGAGGTGGCCCCCCTGCCACGGTGATAAGCTTTGTCTCCTTAGTGGCTTATGGTCCAAAGGTCACTCACTCAGCCTTAGCCATGTGGGGGTCACAGCTTCTGAAACCAGGCAGGGCAGTTCCCAACACAGATGTGTTTTGGAGGCTCCAACTTCAGGGATTTTTGGAGAGGTGCAGACATTACACACTGTGGGACATCTGAGTGCCTTAGCCAAGCACGGTTAATATTTCTGCAGTGAAACAATGAATATTCAAATTAAGTGGGATACATCAAAGCTGAAATCACACCCATTCAGGTCAAGTTTTACCACTCAATAAACTATGAAAAAAAGTTTCTGTTTTTAGAGTGTTTTGCATTTCACAATTCAGACAAGAGGCATCCGAGCTTTAGTGTCGCCACCTCGGAGGGTAGGACAGCAGTGGGAGGACAGTCCTTACAGCTTCCCATGGCGGGATTGCTGAGTGCCATGCAGCTGGCTCTCGGCTCCTCGCCACAGCTCTCTGCTGCTGTGGAGCTGCTTTAATACCCATTTCACAGATGGGGAACCGAGGCTGAGGCTCCATGTATTGTGCTCATCCTCAGCGTCCTTGCATGACCAGTGGCCACCTGTCCCCCACAGCCCTCTGAGTGGTCCCCCTTTCCAACTCCCTCTGACATCTGCTAGACAAAGAAGCAAAAAGGAAAGTAAAAGTAGAAGGCCTTTCTCGGAAAGCCCTGTTTTCCCAGAACAGGTGGTGCTGTAGAAATGGCATTTTTGTGCTTTAATGTATAACCAGGACCCATTTTCATAATCCCTCACAGTATATATGCTGCTCAGAGCAGAGCAGAGCAGAGCAGCAGCGCTCGGGACTAGGCCCTGGCCAACCACACCAGCTGGAGACTCCGCACTTTTGTTTGTCCTCTGCAGCCGGCTGCTCACGGTCTCCTTCCTGCAGAACCAGAGGCCCCCAGAGAGGCGAGGACAGAGGACGTGGACGGGAGCCTTCCTCTAGCTCCAGGCCTGAGGCTGCAGTTAGAACAGGTAGGACACAGCAGAGGAGGGGAGGCTGCTTTGGGGCCCCCGAAGGATGACGTGCCCCAGAGGTCGGCTATAGAACCGGAGCTGTTGTCAGGGCTGGCTATGGGTTCAAATCCCCATCCTCTCAGTGACTAACTTTGTGAGCCTGAGAAAGGTCTAAAGTTCACATTTTTTACTGATCCACCAGGACAATATCTCTGCCTCATAGACCACTTAAAATTTAAATGAAAACCTGATTAAGAGTGTGGTGTGACCCACCAAGTGGCATCTCCCCTGCCCACCATGGCCAGGGAATTTCATAAGGTTTCCTGATACCTGAAGTGACCTTGTTTTCATGTTTCCAACCAGAAAGTCACTGGACTTCTGAGGACACCCCTGACTCGCCCACGGACAAGATGAGCAAGGATTCAGGGTAAGAATGTGAGGCTGGTGTTGGTTTGCAAAGGTCACTCAGAGGGTTTTGTCCCCGGAGAAGCGCTGCTTCTGCAGAAATGCTCCGGTATTATAAATGATATGCAACTAATGTGTTCCCAAGTATCAGTTGCAACGTGGGCCTGTCCCTCATGTAGGAAGGCATATTCTCCTGGGGGAAAATATTCCACAAGGTAAACTAAATATTTTGGAGATCAAGTCAAGATCTAATTAGGTATGTGACATTGAGCAACAGGACCGACCCTAAGGGTATAAATTGTCCCACTGGGGGGTGGGGGTCTCACCTCTGGGAGGCACATGAAGCAGGAATTCAGTCTTCTTGGCCCACGAGTCACCATGAAAACCCTGTGGCATTGCTGCGTTCTCGAATGAAGCCCAGTCTCCGTGGGTCAGCACACGTAATGTCACCAGCCTCCAGCACAGTGTGCCAGTCAGGGAACATTTGAGGAGTGATTTAGGTGTGTGTTTGCCTTGTGGAATCCGACTGCCACCTGACACTATATCAGAGGGTGTGGCTGCCTGATGCGGGATGGACCGGGGTCCAAGCATCTGTACTGGAGGCCTTTGGTTTAATTAAGAAACACAAGAAGCCAAGCTGGCCTTTGCTGTTGACCACGTTAAAGACAAAACCCTAGAATTCATGCAAAGTGGTGTTGTGTGTATCTGTAAATACGTATTCGTTGTTGTTTCTCAGTCCCTACACACCTGGGAAAGGCTGAGGTGAGGGGGTGGGCTGGATGGTGGCACCCGCCAAGGTCCAGTTCCAAAGCAGGGTCTTCCTCCTCGCCCTCATGCCCGCCTCCTTCCCCACTGCAGTCCCCAGCAAACTTCTGCTCGGTAAATTGATTTACAGCAGCTGATTAACTGATTATGGGCTTATATGCATTCATTCATTCATTCATTCATTCACACTAAAGGGTTTCTTGGTGGCAGATTTCATTTTCAACCTTTTCCATTGAGGAAGTGTGTGTGTGTGCAGAGAGAGGTACTAAAGGCTGTGTCTGCATACATCTGCCCCAGCGAGGGATTCCTGGGCAGTGGATGTACTCATGGTCCTGGGGCCAGCGCCCCATTCAAGCCCAAACTCTGTGGGCCGTGTTCTATGGGCGAGGCCCCTTTCCCCTCTAGGTTTCCATTCTCTCCCCTGAAAATAAAAGCAGGCAGCTCAGACCCCCTCCAGGGTTCATTTCAGCTCTGCCACTCCTTTCTGAGCCTGGGAGCCAGCCCCCACCTGGCCTCCTGATCTCGCCCTGAAGGGAATGTAGGAGGAAAGTGCCCAAAGGTGTAGGCTTTGCTCTCCCCTGGTTACTGCTGCCCTGTGAAGGACACACTCGGCCAGGCTGGCCATGGTCCCATCATACTTCCTACTGGGACATATTGGGGAGGAAGGGCCTGGGCCCCATGGTCCCTGACTTCTTCCATGAAGACCAGTCCCGTCTACTTGAGGGGCCAAGGAAAGCTTGCCAAGTGACAAGGAGGGCATTCAGAACATTAGTGATCGCATTTCTCTGGGCCCTCTGGGGGTACACCTCCTGACAGAAGCAAAGACTCACCATGGGAGCCAAAGTCAAGGCCATCAAAGTGGAGGATGCACTCTACAATATGGTGCCTCCCTCCTCTGACTCACCTGGACATACTCAGAACTCTCCACTCTGCCCAGCACCTGGGATCCTCTCTCTCCTACGTTGTTGCCCAGACCTCTCCCTCCTTTAGTCCCAGGTCTCTGATCTTGACTAGGGTCTCAGCATTTCCCTGCTACCTCTTCTCAGACCAGTTCCATAGTCTCCCTGAACAGCAAATGTCCATAAGGACTGTCCTCCCTTCTCCATCTCGTTGGCCAAGGCTGTGTGTGTCCCATGTGTTCCTCCGGATGCCCCTCTGATGTGTTTCTCCTCTTCATGGAAGCAGCGGCCCCCAACGACCTCTGGGACTGTTTGGGGTCAGGTCGGAGGTACCGGAGGTGTTAGGGAGATGTGGGGGAGATTCAAAGTTGGGGTGCAAGAACATCCGGACACCACCTGGGCCTAAGAATCTGGTTTTCCCATATGAGAGATTGAGGTCAACTCCTTATTTCACTCATCCACAGGGACAACAATTACATTCTGGGTGAAGATGTGGAGCAAGAAGATAGAGATCTTTCTGATGAAGAAAGAGAATTTTTGAAAGAGTTTCCCATCTTTAAAGCGGAACTAGAAGCGGCCATCACTAAATTCCATGCTCTTGCAGATGACATGGATAAAGCCCACCAAACATTCACGAAGGTCAACATGGTGTCCAACAGTGTCTCTGTCGTCTCCAACATAATGGGCATCCTGGGTTTAGTCCTCGCTCCAGCAACAGCTGGAGGGAGCCTGATGCTTTCTGCTGCTGCTACGGGCATTGGGACGGCAGCTGGGGCCACCGGCACCATCACCGACATTTTGGAATACCTGCACAAAAAAAACATCCAAGCTCAGGCCGACATCCAAGTGCCTGACACTGAGCAACACTTGGCCAAAAATGTTGCAAAATGTGCCATTAATCTTGGAACAAACATCAGGAACATCGAGAAGAATGTCAATGCCTATCAGATAGCCAAGAACTACCCGCGCCTGGCCGCAGCTGCCGAGCGTCTCCTGACCACTGGCCAAGTCTCGTCCAGAACGAAAAAGCAGGTGCAGATGGCCTTTGAAGGTACAGCGATGGTGATGAGCCACACTACTCGCTTGCAGAAAAGTGGGATAGCCTTCCTCGCCCTTGGCATGGACTTGCAAGCCCTCATGAGGAACGTGACAGACCTGAAGGAGGGAACAACTACAGAGTTGGCAGAAGACCTGAGGGCCAAGGCCCAGGAGATGGAGAGACAGCTGACAGAACTCACCAAGCTCTATGAGCACCTCAAGCAGAAGGTAAGGCTGTGCCTTTCCTCAACTTTGGGGGGGGGGATGGAGGTGGGGCAGGTGGAACTGGGGTGCCTGGGCACTCCCAGGAGTTCTGGGAAGGGTGTTAAGGAAGCCACTGTGTGAGTGAAATTTGCATGGATGGTCCTGAGGACGTGGGGCTCTTGGAGATGAGGGGCTGGTCCTGACAGACCTGGTTGTACCTTCTGTTTCTCCCTGGATGCTCTCTGAGGTGCCTGTGCTGGGGAGAGGGTCTTCCCAGTTGTACAGAAGAGGACAGAGCCACAGGGAGTGTCAGGGACTGAAATGTGTCCCCATAATATTCATATGTTGAAGCTCTCCGACCGAGTGTGACTATTTAGAGATGACACTTCGGGGAGGTAATCGGGGTGGAATGAGGCCATACCGGTGGGCCCTATGGGGCCGATGTCCTCATGGGAGAAGGGAGAAGCACATGAGGTGTCTCCCTCAGCCTGTGCCAGCCCAACCAAAAGGCCATGTGAGGCCACAGCGAAAAGGCGGATGTCTGCCAGCCGGGAAGGGAGTCCTGACCAGGAACCAAACCGGCCGGCCCCTTGGTCTGGGCCCTGCAGCCTCTGGAACCATCGGAAAATACCTTCCTGCTGTTGACGCCTCCCAGCCTGTGGTGTTCCATCACGATGTCTGGGATGACCATGACAGGGAGCTTATGTGACCTGGCCCATCCCCCCAGCCAGGTGGGGTAGAGTCAGGATGGAGAGACCAGGGAGCCTGACGTCAGGGCTGGGCTGGATCTGTCCACCGTGGGGCCCTGGAACTCCGAGAGCTGTCCTTGATGGGTGTTTCTGTTTCTTGCAGGAAAAATGGCGATGGTATTGGGAAGGAGTACTCCCGGTGATAGGTGAGCACAAAGCCAGGCTAAGCCCCGGGGCCTCTGTTGCAATAAAGGGGACAGGGTGGTTGTGGGCAAGGTTGGCAGAGGACAGGCCTGCAGACTCACTAGCTGGGGGGCCTGCTGGGTCCCCAGGGCACTGTCAGCTAGGGAGTGTGGTGAAGGTCCTTCTGTCCCATCCATTGCCACTCTGTGACTCACTGCCCATTCCTTCGTGACGATGGCCGGGTGGGGCGGGGGGTGCTCTCTCGGGCACTCGGCTCCTTCAGTCCCCAGTCACTCAGTCCCACAGTCAGTCTGCATCACTGTTCATTCTGGGCTCTATACTGAGTGCTGATGGCAAGACAGTGGGGTCCCTGACGTGGAGGGTGTCACCCGCAAAATACAAAGGCCTTTCAAAGTGAGAGGGAAACAATTGTGGATTGGAGATCCCTAAGAATACCTATTCTGCCATCAGGGATTCAGGCAGAGGCCCGAATGACATACTGCTCAGAGTCAAAGGCAGGGTGTGTATGAGAGGGGGGGCATTTCCATCCACAGAAGGACAGCTCTTCTGTGGGTGCAGATGACCCAACACAGGATGCTGAATGCTTTGAATTTTCAGGCCCGTCGTCAGAGTAACTGTTTTCTCGGCATCTCTGTAGACAGTTTTGGGCACACAATTGCTGAGGCCCAGTGTGAGGGTCACTGCAACATTGCCCAGATCTGGGGCCGGAGTCGGGCTGGGCACTCTCTCTGGGAGCACAGCACCGGCTCCATTTCTGAGTGGCTCTGTGGGCGGGACTGTGGTTGATAAGGTGTGGTTCCTTCTTCCACTCATGCTGTGCTTCTCTTTTCTCTTCCTCCTCGGTTGACACAAAAGATTGGTTCTGGGACCTCCTCTACCCCAGTGGCCCTGAAGACCCAAGATCTGGGAAGTCCTTTGAACGTTGGATCTTAGAAATATGTGCCCTTTTTGGTTTTGCCTTGCTTTTGCTTAAATGTGTTGATTTATTTTTATGTGCTGTGATTTATTTCCTTTGTTTTGCTTTGTTTTGTGTTGCTGTTTATGTTTTAGCTGCTTCCTTGTCGTATGCATTGAGATGAAGAGCAATTTTTTGAAATTCTGGAAAGGAAATAAAAGGGTGGAAATCACGCACCTTCTAAGGGGGACAGCGTTTTGTATTTGGCATCAGATTTCCTTCCTGTGCTTCCTGGGAGTGGGTGGGTGTGAACACACTGACGGGCGCTACGGGGCTGTGATTGGCTGCCCCTGGGCGCCCCCCATGGATCCGCAGCCCCTGGGTTCCCCCATACTCTCCCGCTCTCCTTTGTCTGCAGACCCGCTACTTCCCCACACACTGCGTTCACGCGCAACACCCGCTACCACTCACTGTGTCTCAGGCTGTAAAATATTCTCCTGACTGTACACAGTCTTTGCATTAGGCCTCCATTCGTCACCGCAATATCAAAATCAAGTCAACTGGCCTATATAGAAAGAGCAATTTATTGCCTCCTGTGACTAAGAACCTAAGGGGTACATCCGTGCTTCAGCTGTGTCTTGGAACCAGAGGGTAAAAATGACGTCACCAGGCCCCTGTCTCTGCATTTCCCAGACAACATCCCGGCAGGTGCAGGTTGATGGCCCCAGCACTCCCAGGTGTGCCCCTCCCATCTGGAAAGGGGCGGGGCAAAACCCCAGACCCAGTCTGATTGGTTAGAGCTGGGTCACGTGCCTTCGTGTGCCCTAGTTGCTCGGATCCCTAAGGTCTGTGGGCTGAGCGAGAAGCTTGGAAGATGAACCGGGAAGAACCGTGCACTGCACGTCCCTTCCCCTGCAGGAACTCTTCGGTCGTTGAAAATTTCTCATCGTCCATGGGAGTAAAACGAGTATCTGTGTGCCAAAAGCGTGTTGCATTTTCCCCAGAATGCTTCCCTAAAAACAGAGTCCCTGAACTGGGATACCTAAAATAAAAAAAATGACCTCATGAAGGAAAAGAAGGGCTCTCCCCCATCCTACCACATTCATTTGTTACACGCATTATAGGGAATTTGGGAAAGATTTTAAAAGCGCAGGAAAGAGTCCCACTCTCAACGTCACGGGGCACAGCCAGGGTCTTCCGGCCCAGAGGTTGTGGAGGCCAGTGTTCCCACGCGCAGGCGTGATGTTTTCTGCTTCTGTAGCTCTCACGTCTTTGCTGGAATTGGTCACGAATGCCACTCACTGTAAGGAAACAGCTCCCTGCACTTTTCACAGCGTTCTCTCCGTGTCTGCGAGTGCTCGGAGTCCCGGATAAACGTCACCAATAAAAGTACACGGCACGAACCAGAGAGTCTGCAGGCCTGAGTCGTGTTTGTTTTGTGGCGTGTCCGGGAGGGAACCAAAGGGAAGAATGAGCTGGGGAATGGAGATCTGAGACTCATCTCTGACGCCTCTGTGCCTGGTGCCATTTCCGCGCTCTGGTTTGTTCAGCCGTGAGGTCGGCGTAACGGGAACGAAGTCCACGGCTCCACCCGGGTGCGGACGTGCGGCGCCCCACTCAGAGTGGTGCGGGTCTGGCAGGAAATCCCCTTGCCAGAAATGCAAATCCTGAATAAAGCGTCGGAACCCCTATCAGAGGAGGCGGGAGAGTTCATTGCCCCCGCTTCTCCCCTTCTCAGACTCTCTCCCAGGGGGGCAGCAGCTCTTGAACTAACTGCTCCTCCCCCAGCTCTGGCCCCTCGGCCTTCCTGCTCCCCACCCAGGCAGCGCCTCTGCGGGCTCCCTCCCTGCCAGCCTCCAAGCCCACGCTGCTCCCTGTGCCAGGGTCTCCTTCTCCGAAGCATCGTCTCCGACACCACCTGCAATTCTTGTGGACCGATGCCTTCCCCTCGTCATACCTCCCCACTACGATAATCTACCCCCAGGCAGGGGAAGCCCAGGACTTCTCCAAGCTACTCAGGGTGCCGGAACCACCCACTCTGTTCTCCTCTCCCCTGGGTGCAGCGGGGCTCTTCCTGGGTGCCCTTGAGGGGTGCAGACCCCCTCCACCACGGTCCGTTGGAAGAGAGTTCTGGGAAAACAATCCCTTCTCCCAGACATCATGTATCCCTCACTGAGATGAGGGAGATGCACGTATTCCAGTGAAAACGGCCCCATCTGTTCCCTGATGCCCCTCAACACCACAAGCACCACAGCGTGAGGTTTTTCCAGAGTGTTAGACTTTCCAAAGTGGCCAGCGAGTTTGTCCTACCCATGAGGACTCCTGTGACCTCAGGAGGTCAACAGCCCAGCCCATGACCTGCCCCCCACCCCACACTAAAAGCAAACTAGGGATCCCGGTCCCTAAAAGCACACCCGAGTGGCTGGCGAAGGGGGGTGGGCCCTGATGGAGGTTGAGAAACCTTGCTATCAGGTTCATTAGCACCTGAGGAGCTGAGGTGTCTTAGGGGACCTCCATGTGTCATTCTGCTGTGTCCTGGTCCACCCCGGCCAACCATGAGCTTTGAGTGGCCCTGAATTGGTGATGAAGTGCACATTGTTTTCACCTGGAAGTCACATTCCCTTGGGTCTAAAATCTTGCTTTCAACTGAAAGGAAAAGGCTGCTGTGTTCCCACCAGTGCTTAGTGCTACGTTCCAAGAACAGGTGTTGCAAAGCTGCCTGCGCCCTTTCTCGGTCCCTCAACAAAACAAAACATGAGTACGTTAGTGTGATGGGCAGGAAGGCAGAGATATTCTTAATTCGTGGCTACGATCCAGCTGCACAAAATCACAGACAAAACAAGGCTTCCTCTCTCTGATGGCCAAGGTCACATAGAGCAGGGCTGTTCAGTATGCTGGCCAGTAGGCAAGTGGTCACAGAGAATTCGAAATGTGGCGAGTCCAGTTTAAGATGTGGGGTAAGTATAAAGGATCCACTAGACTATAAAGGCTTAGTATGAAAACATACATAAAATGTCTCACTAATAATTTTTATAATCATTTATTTTTTAATATATTTTATTGATTACGCTATTAGTTATCCCATCCCCCTCTTTAGTCCCCTCTGCCCTGCACACCCCCTCCCACCCACATTCCCTCCCTTTAGTTCATGTCCATGGGTCATACGTATAAATTAGTTGGCTTCTACATTTTCTATACTATTCTTACCCTCCCTCTATTTTCTACCTACCATTTATGCTTCTTATTCTCTGTACCTCTTTCCCCTCTCTCCTCCTCCCACTCCCCCGCTGATAACCTTCCATTGTTGGGGCCCGCCCTGCCTGGTCTCAGGAAGCTGTAACCCCCCATGACTTAGGTTGAGTGAGAGACCTCTGAACCAGGAGCCACTAAGGAGACAAAACTTATTTCCCTGGCATGAATGCTGCCTGTTCTGTGCCTGGCCTCCTAGGCTTGATCAGTTAGCCAATGACGGGTAAGATTTCCCATGGGGCGGGGGAATCGCCTAAGACAGGCATGATCACGAGGAGGCCTCTGGGAAGAGACTCAGGGCTGTGGAAATAAAGAGGTGATGGACATCAACCCCTGCCCCCTTGGCTTTGTCAAAGCCTGAGTCCTTGTTCTTAGTTGTGAGAATTCCAAATCTCCTGGCTGCCTTTGTCTCCTCTGTTGACTCAGGCCTGTGGAAATAACAGGGGCGGTGCAGTCCAGACCAGAGCTGGCGGACCCCCGGGGTAATCAGGCCTGGGACATAGAATATACAAGATCTTGTGAGATCTGCTTGCTGGAGGATGCTATTGAATTAGAATTTGAAGGCACAAGCAGGAAATGAGACTAGCCTTTTAGGTCCTGTAGTGATAAAACCCCAAACTTTGCCCAGAATCCCAGCGGGAGTTCTGTCAGACCCTTTGAAAATTACCTATTCCTTTTGATCTCCCCTGCCAGACTGTTAATCCACAAACTGTGTCTGTATTCTTAATAAAAACCTGCTTGGGCAGGAAAATGGGATGTTCTCCTCTTGAGAGAGTGGCCGTTTCAGCCCTATTCCCCCACAGGACTCAGTTGTCTCTGCGTATGTTTTTCTCGTGTTTCGATGAGCATCTGCAGCAGGGATGGATACTGCTGGCCGGTATCTGCCACACTCTGTGTGATCTCCACTTCTGTGATACTGTTCCTGTTCTAGTTGTTTGTTTAGTTTGTTTTTGTTTTTAGGTTTAGTTGTTGATAGTTGTGAGTTGGCTGTCATTTTACTATACATGTTCTTTACCTTCTTTTTCTTAGATAAGTCCCTTTAACATTTCATATAATAAGGACTTGGTGATGATGAACTCCTTTAACTTGACCTTATCTGGAAGCACTTTATCTGCCCTTCCATTCTAAATGATAACTTTGCTGGATAGAGCAATCTTGGATGGAGGTCCTTGCCTTTCATGACTTGGAATACTTCTTTCCAGCCCCTTCTTGCCTGAAAGGTGTCTTTTGAGAAATCAGCTGGCAGTCTTATGGGCACTCCTTTGTAGGTAATGCTCTTGTCTTCTTTTGCTGCTTTTAGGATTCTCTCCTTATCTTTAATCTTGGCTAATGTAATTATGATGTAATTATGTGTTCCTCCTTGGGTCCAACTTCTTTGGGACTCTCTGAGCTTCCTGGACTTCCTGGAAGTCTATTTCCTTTGCCAGATTGGGGAAGTTCTCCTTCATTATTTCTTCAATAAGTTTCCATTTTTTGCTCATCTTCTCCTTCTGGCACCCCTATGATTTGGATGTTGGAATGTTTAAAGATGTCCTGGAGGTTCCTAAGCCTCTCCTCATTTTTTTTTTGTATTCTCATTTCTTCATTCTGTTCTGATTGAATATCTATTTCTTCCTTCTGGTGCACACTGTTGATTTGAGTCCCAGTTTCCTTCCCATCACTGTTGGTTCCCTGTACATTCTTCTTTATTTTACTTAGCATAGCTTTCATTTTTCCTCTATTTTGCAACTGTATTCAACCAATTCTGTGAGCATCCTGATTACCAGTGTTTTGAACTATGCATCTGACAGGTTGGCTATCTCTTCGTCACTTAGTTGTATTTTTTCTGGAGCTTTGATCTATTCTTTAATTTCAGCCATTTTTTTTTTTTACTCACTACACCTGTTATGTAGTAAGGGGTGGAGCCTTATGTATTCACCAGGGCGGGGTAACCCATGTGGCTGTGCTGTGATGCTGTATGTGGGGGAGGGGTCCAAGAGGGAAACAATGGCGCTTGCTCCACTCTCTGCCGGATTTCAGTCACTTCCCCTGCTTCCCACAAGCAAATTAGGTTCTTCTGGTGCTGATTCCCAGGTGGGTGGTCTTGTGCACATTCTAGGACCCTGTGGGTCTCTCCAACGAACTCTCCTGTGAGGCTGGGAATCTCTCCTGGCACCTCAACTCCCACAGGTGTTTTCAGTCAGAAGCTTTGAGGCTTTATTTCCCCACACTGGAACCCAGGGTTGTGCAGTCTGTCTTGTTCCCCAGTTGTTCCTCCAGGTTTATCTGCATGTGAATGTGGAATCAACCAGTCCACAAGCTGCCGCCTTGCCGAGAGTCCTCTCTGCCCAGCTGCCCATCTCTGCTCTTCCTACAGGTCTGGATAAATGTTTCTTCTTTAACTCCTTGGTTGTCCGACTCCCATACAGTTCAATTTTCTGTCAATTCTGGTTTTTTTTTAAATTTGTTGTTGTCCTTCTTTGGGTAGTGTGAGGAGGCACAGTATGTCTACCTATGCCTCCATCTTGGCCGGTGATTTTCACAATCATTTAAATCCTAAGTTGAAATGATGCCATATTGCTTTAAGTAAAATATAATGTGACTACAGAAAATGTATCCAATGTATACTTACATGTGTGGCTCGCATTATGATGCTATTGGATAGCACTAATGTGGACAAAAGAATTTAGAAGAGGAAGATAATTTGAACGGTGCGTTGGGGTGTGGGGGGCTGATAAGGAGCACATCTTGCTCTCCCACCCAGGTTTAGAACCAGTGAAGAAGGAGGTCAGGAGGCAGGCAGGCGGAGATCAGAGTGCCAGCCCGAGTAGAGGCGTGGAAGGAAGTAGCTTCGGGTGGGCTGAGCGGGTCAGCTGGCTAATACCCGCTCCTGAATTAGATGGTCCTAGCCGCAGGGCACCTGCCACTTTGGACGGTGTCAGCCAGGCCTGCCCAGCTTAGACAACGTGCTGCATGCTCTCAGGCCGGCGGACCCCAAATCAGTGTCAGCTCCCTCCGGCCATCTTCCCACCATGGAACCCACTCATGCTTTCTTGGAGTTGGTGAGCGAGAGAAGGGGAGAGACTGGAAGTATTGCTTGGATGGAATTCTTCCACACGGACACAGGAGTGAGGAGTAAGTATCCTTCCAATCCTTCCCAGCCTTCGTTTGATGATGCATTGAACTTACCTGTTACGCCTGTGGTCTGCAGGTGGCCATCAGCCGTCCTGCAGAGCAGCCCCACTCTCTGCTCCACCCAGCTGCTCGTGGGTGCCGGTCACTTCTGCTGCGTGAATCGTGCTGGGTCGGCTGCCGGCCAGTGTAAAATGTGCCGCCAAGAGCTTTCAAGATGGGTCAGATTGGAACACGAACGATGGGAGAAGGTCTCTCTTCTCCCATCTCCCATCCCAGATGTTGTCAAGCCACATCCAACAGAGCTCTTCAGAGGCTTTGCAATGAGGTTGAGGTTTAGCATAAACATGTAAACATGTAAACATAGTCCAATAGTAAAGGGCCAATGAGAAGGAAGCCCGCATTGCACATGAACTCCTTTACGTTGCACATGGCCCAGGGAAAAATACTGAAAGTCAATATTCTTGCAAATTAAAGTTTAAGGAAATTAGTCAGAAATCAGATTGTCCTGGTGAGTTTAAAGTTCAAAGAAATCAAATTGTTTTCAAGTCCAAAAGTATCAAAGTCCAAAATCGATTCCTCTTTTAGAATCCAATGCAAATCATAATGTAAAAAAAAAAATCTTTTTCTCCAAAGTCTTATTTTGTCCAGTTTCAGTGAAGTTCTTAAACTTCAGAGTAATTCCAAACACAGAGAAGAGTTCGGGAATGGTACCACAAACTCCCTTACTCACGGCCGTAAGGACCCTGTCCCCACACCAAGTGTTCACTCACCGCGCCTCCTCGGCTTCAAACCCACCCTCGAGTGCAGGGCACCCTGAGCGCAGGGCGTGTGGCCTTGGAGCTGGATGGGCCTCCCTGACTTTTCCTTTGCCCCTGGCTCCAGGTTGAGCTTCCTCATCAGAGGACATGCTGCAGGAGGAGGAGGTTTCAATGTGAACTCCCTCCCTCTTCCTCAGAGTGCTCAGCCCTGGGGTGCAACAGCATGGAGCATCACCTCTGGGGAGTTCACCGTCACCCCCAGAGGCAATTTCCTGGCGAGTGCCTTGTGAACTCTGAACTCCATGGAACCTTCCAGATGAGGCTTTCTCTGAAGGTGGCTTCTGCCCACTGGGCCCCCGGGGAAGTCACCAGCAGCTCCCTCCACTTTGCAAGTTTTGCTGTCCCCACCCCAGGGGGCAGGTTCCTTCGACAGTGTTGGTCTGCAGCAGCTCAGCAAAAAAACACTCTGACTCCATTCCATTTTTTAAAAAAGTATTATTTATAACATCTACCACCCTCATCTGGGCAAAGAGGCCACAGTGTGGGTATCTGAATTCTCAAATCCGGGAGAGCTCATGGGCTGAGCTCAGGGAAGCAAGCCTTGGAACCCCTGGACAGGCCTGAGGATCCAGACTTGTGCCCTCTCATGGTCTAGAAGGTAGACCAAAATAATATTTTAAGAAAGAGGAACAGAATTTGGGGCAGCTGAATGACCACAGCTTACGCATGTGTGGCACAAGCAATGTTTTTAAAATTGGGTAAATGCAATTCTCCTTCTCTTTTTAAAGACTGCTGTAAAATATACATAACATAAAATTTACCATTTGAACCACGTCTGAGCATCACAGCTCAGTGGTTGACAGTCCATTCGTCCTTGTGCAGCCCTCCCCTACGTCCATTGCGGCACCTTCCCGTCTTGCAAAACTGACACTGCACCCACTAAACACGTGGTGGTGGCAGTAATGTTGCAGGTCAGGGGTCATCCAGCAAAGCAAACAGAGGCCAAGGCTGGACACGATCTGGGGTCAAGTCACGAGGGCCACAAAGCCACAGTGAAAGTCTGGACTGGAACTTGGGAGCCGGGGAAGGGTTTCTTGCCTAAGAACTACTCCAAGTTTGGTCTGGGACAGGCAGGCAGCGTGAGTGCTTCCCAGGAGTATAGTTAGAAACGCAGAATTTCAGGCCTTTTCCAAGACCTATGAAACCAAATCAGCAATCTGACAAGATCCCTGGGCACTTGTGGACCCAGGAAGTGTGAGAGGTGCTGGTACGTGAGGAACCTCAAGGTCATGGTCGTGCTTCATAAATATCACCATGATTGCAAAGGAGGAAGGAAGGGGTGGGAGGTCCCCAGTCAAGGTTCTGTCCCAAAGGTATATGCTCTACATTCTGAGCCTAATTGGGATGGGATGGCCAAAACGTTTATGTGCCCTCACCTACCCAGTGATTAGTGGTTACTTACTTAGCAAGCGCTTTGTCCTATGTCCGGGTGGCACAGAAGACAGTGGTCTGGAAGCCTGACTCAAAGCTGCCTCATCTCATCTGCCTCAAATTCTGAACTTAGAGAGACGTGCCTTTAATTTGGGGGCACCCGGTGTGGAAGCGAAAAGAGGACCAACTAAAGAGTGGTTCCCCGTGTCCGAGTACCGTGAGCACAGGGAGAAACTGAGCACACACTTCGCCTGGACAAACTGTATTTTGCTTGGCTGTACAACGCAAGAGACACATACGCACTCACTTTACAAGGTTGTTTGGACCAATGTGGGTGTGAAGTCCTTTATTAAATAATACCCCCGTAAAAATAGTAGTTTGTACGGTGATTATCCCAGGTAGTGGGGTCAAAGGGACTTGTGTCTGCTTCCTAAGTGTCTGCATCCGTTAGAATGAACGTGTAAAATCTATGTAGTTGTAAATAAAAAGCCAGAAGGTAGAAGCGTTATCAATTTCTAGATACATTCTGAAAAGTATACTCAAGTTATTATGAATCAAAACGCCTCTTTATCCCAGGCCCCAAGATGTTCTGGGGCGTGAACGTGACAGAACTGCCGTATGCGCATGCGCACGCTCACGCTCACGGACCCTCTGCGGTCAATGCTCCTGCCGCCGTCACCGGTGCTGCTCCGGTATCTGTGCTGCCGCGCCGTATCCTTCAGGTTCCTTCTGCAGGCACCCAGCCGGCGTGCGTTGGAGCCTCGGTGCTGTGCATGCCTGCCAGACCTTTTCAGCATTTTGCTTTCACTTCATTTTGCTCACTTTCTTCCTCTCTGCCTTCAGCGTCGCTTTGTTTTGTTTTTGTTTTTCATAGGGTCTCTCTTCCCTTGTGTGGATTCCAGTAAACGTTTGTTCTTTGACGGCTTTATTTTTCCTGCCTCTTCCTTCCTACGCTTCCCCCGTGTCTGTTCCATTCTCCCAGTTGTCTGACCACATCTTCCTGGCGCCCGCGGAGCTGCTGGGCCTTCCTGCAGTGTCCAGGAAACCGCCTCCCAGACGAAAAAGGATTCATGGCCAAGTGAGTGCTCGCAATTTTCTTTTTTTCGTTTTGATTTTTGAAAAGAATATTTTTTCTTCCTGTTGCTCTGCTTGGGTGTCTTTTCTACCTTGTCTTCCAAGTCGCTAACCTGACCCTCTGCTTCATTCATCACACTTACTATTACTCCTTCCAGTGTATTATTTATTCCACATATTGCATTCCTTGTTTCTGCCTGGGCCCTTTGCACGCTTTCTGTGTCTGTTTTCATGCTGTTGAGTGTCCTTCTAATCACAACTCCAAACTCTATACATGATAAATTACTTGCCTCCAGTTCATCTAGTTCTTCTGGAGAGGTCTCTTGTTTTCATTTGGGCCTGTTCCCTTGTCTCCCCATTACTGCCTCTTTGTGTTTGTTTCCCTGTATTAGACACATCCCCAAAGATTCTGCTGCAGAAGTCAGACTTGGCCTGCGAGTGGCCCTGGGCAATTAGTTTGGAGCTCTCAGGGATCCCCAGCTCTTGGCTCCGCTGACGGGCCCTCGTGTGTGCAGAGAGGACAAGGCTGCACACCAAGGGCGGCTTTATCAGCACCCAGCTGGGCGGGGGTCAGCTAAAGCCTCCAAGCACCCAGCTATCCTTTTGGCCTGCAGGCTTCCTGTTAGTGCTCATCAGTGAAATTGTTTCCAGCTCTGCTCCACAGGAGGGACTCCTGTGGGTGGGGCTGTTGCTTCCTCCCAGCCTGAAGCCCCATGGAGGGGAGGGCCCTGCCCAAGAAAGATGGCTTCAGCTGTGTGGGCAATGACTCAGCTCAGGGATCCTGGTCACTGATTGTTCAGCGCTCTCCCCAGAGCCACCAACTCAGACACTCCTTGGGTGGCTCTAGTCTGCTCTGCCCTCCCTCTGCTGGAGCCCAGGTAAGTGTCTGCAAATGAAATTTTGAGCGTGGGCCCTTTAAGGGGCCCTCTGCATCTGGAGCCTTCTCTTCCTGGCAGACAGGCACTCTGCTTGCTGCTTCTCATCGGCTCTGGTGCTGTAAGCTGGGGAGTCCAGCTTGGGGTTTAGACCCCACATCTTTCAGGGGTACTGCCCTGCCCTGCCCCCCCAGCCACGGAAATAACCCTCCAGAACCTCAGTGGCTGCCCCTCGGAGCCCCGCCAGCCCCCTGGCGCCTCCCTGGGGTTGCCTATCACTTCCGTTGTGGTGAAGCGTTTTCTTCCGTCTGCCTTGATTTTCAGGCTTCTCCCCAGCTGAAGAAGTCCCGTTGGTCACTCAGGATGAGTTTTCTGTAGTTCGGCTGTCGTTCCAGTTTGGTCCTAGGAGGAGGTGAGCGTCGCTCCCACGCTCGGCGCCACCACCTTGGGGATCAGTGTCCCCATCTCCCGCGGGCCGTTGCCGTGGCTCTCAGGTGAGTGTTCTCGGGCTGCCCTCTCCCGAATTCTGCCGTGGTTACTGTCTTTGTCTGTGTCTGGTAGAATGTACGAACAGAACTGACCACTTCAGCTGTTTCTGAGTGTGCAGGGCAGTGGCTGTGGGCATGTTCGTATTGTTGGGCAAGCATCCCTGCCACTGTTCTCCAGAACTTTCCATCTTCCCACACTGGTTCTGTGCCCATCCAACACTGACTGCCTGGGCCCGTCAGCTGCTGGTGCCTACCACCCTCCTGCTTCCCGTCTCGGTGAATTCGACTTTGCTAGGTGCCTCATAGAAATGAAACCATACTCTATGTGTCCTTTGTGACTGGCTTAGCTCACTTAGTTATGTTAAAAGAACTTTCTAGGCCCAAGACAGAGCTGCTCCTGCCTGGGGTGCTGTGTCAGCAAAACTCAGATAGTGTTTGTCTCCCTTGTAAATGCTGCACTTGACCGGGAATGCAGCGTATCTCGTCAGCTGGTCCCCCCCAAGGGAAAGCCGACCCTGGGCCTTTTCAGGCCGGACAACCTCGGCTCTGTGGATCCACCAACCAGGTCTTCTCTCTCTCTCTCTCTCTCTCTTTTCATCTCTGTAAAAACTGCCTGCCTGCCCCCTCATTTGGCGTTTCTCCAAATGGGGAGCACCTGCTTCATGAAGTGCTATCCCTATTAAGTTCCTTTGTATCACCTAAATTCTTTACTCTTTCAAAAAAAAACCAGTTTGCATAGTGTCTGCAAAGTTCACCCAGACTGCGCTGTAGCATTAGCAGGATTCCATTCCTTCCGAAGGAGGAACAGTACTCGGTGGCACGGACGGATCCCATTTACCTAGACGCTCATCCATTCCCGGACATTCAGCTGTTGTGGATGACGCTCGACGGCACGGACGCACACGCATTTGCTCTGGACCCTGCTTTCGACCCCTGAGGATGTGTAGCCAGAAATGAGACCTCGGGGTCGTAGGGCGATGCTGCCTTTCATTTTTATTCGTAACCGCCCACCGTCCGCAGTGGCCGCAGCATGTGGCAGTCCCACAGGCAGTGAACAAGGGTTTCCATTTCCCCACCACCTGGCCAACCCTTGGTACTGACCGTGTTTTTTCTGTTCTGGTGACAGCCCCCCTAACGGGGGTGAGGGGTAGCCCGCTGTGGTTTTGATGCCTATCACCCTCCATGATGAGTGATGCTGAGCCTCTTTCATGCGCTTTCTTTGGAGAAGTATCTACTCCAGTCCTTTGCCCATTTTTTTTTTCAGCTGGGTTGTTTGTTTTTTTTGCAGTTGTTACCATTTTTTGAGTGGGCCTTGCATTGGCCGCCTTTTCGCTTGGGCCAGCTGTTTGTGGGCGATGGAAATAAGGAGGAACCCTGGGCTGCTGCCTTCTAGGCTAGCGGCACCGTTCTTCCGGATGCAGGGCCTTCTGCTTGAGCCGTCGGTCCGTATCACCCCCCAGGCAAGGAACCGGTCAGCATGCAGACAGGTCACAGTGCAGGGTCTCTTCTCCCGTTGGTCTCAAGGACAGACTGTGTCCCACAGATACGGCTGTTCTCACGCTGCTCCTCACTCAGTCCTGCATCCCTGTGTCTTGGAGCCAAGCCAGATTTAGCACCAACCCGCACAGCTTATTTGTCCCAGTTTAAAAAGGGATTTTAGTTTTGCACTTTGCGAAAGTCCCTCCCCTTGAAGAGGGGCTTTCCCCCCTGCAATCGGTAGTCATGGCCCACTCTTTCCAAAAAGGGCCGTTGTGGGCACTCCTGCCCGCTTTCCTCCCAGAGCCTGGCCCATTCCCGTTGAGTTTGGCCTTCTGTTAAACTAGGTCCTACTTATTTTTTTACTTTTATTTCTTTTTAGCTTCTAGTAGCAGGTGCTTGTATCATTTTGTGTTACTTTTGGGTAATTGCCCAAAGAAGAGAAATGGATAATTTGTAGCACTCACCGTCCCCCAAAGGGTTCATACAACACGATCTGGGCGTCGCTACATTCTCACGCGGACGGACAGGAGTGAGACGTGACATGAGAAGAAATGGACTTTGGTTTCCTCCCTCTATCTCCCCTGCCTCTCGGAAAGCTCCCCCCGCAGCCTTTTATTCCTTGTCCCTCGTTCCCTATTCACTGATACCAAAATCTGGCATTTCCCAGGGTTCCCTTTTCAGCTCCCTGTCCCCCTGCGCTGGCCACCTTCCGTGGACTTGACCTCTTGATGAATTCCCAGGTCTGAGTCCCCAGGTCTCAGCTCTCTAGGAAGCCACTGCTCTCTGGATGACTGTGGGGTCTTCTCTTCTTGAGCAGGCGAAGCTCCACCCCTTCGGGCCCAGAACCCACTGTCACCGGTACAGAGAGAAGCACCAAGGAGCCCGGGAGGCACCATGGCCGCGGCAGCAGCTGGACACTACTCAGGTGACCCTCCCCTTTCCTCGGCAAAGTCTTTTGATCCCCAGTTCACTGCCTTGGCATATAACGGATGACACTGGAGATTGGGAGGTGATTCGAGACCCTGTATGTGGGTGACCCCCATTCCTGCAGTGAAGGTGGGGTCTAGGTCCCTATTTCCCATAAGACCCTCTCACACTGCCCCTACAATTAGAGGCAGAAGCTGGGGCTCCCTTAGTAACAGAGACCGTATTTTAGGAGCCCCAAATCAGTATCTCTTCATATCACGTACAGCATCTGCCTTACCCTCCTGGCCCCCGTGACTCTCAAGTGGCAGGCTTTTGTGGTCAGTTTGGAGGTCAGCATCTGTTTGTGCAGTCAGGGCCCCCAGAACTCCCGGAACTTGGTTTTGGTCCAGCCAGACCCCCTCACTCAGTGTCCTTGACAGAGACCGTGGCAGTGGGAAGATAGGACAGCTTATGTGGTTCAATCCAGAGAGCCTCTTCCTCCCTCTACACCCAAACCCACAGCTCGGGAGACTAGCCTTTCAGTTCTGAGAGGGCCCAAGTGAGAGGTGGGTGTGGGTGTGGGGGGACAGTGGCATGGTGAACAAGATGGGGCCCGCTCATCCATCCTCCTGGGAGCAGAGCAGACAGAGGGGAGAGGGCTGTGAGCATCCCTCTGCAGTCCCGGACAGAGGAGGACCAGCCTGTACCAGATGCACCCCTCAGTAGCAGGGAATCTTGACCAATCAGAGAAGGATGATGCTGTCTGTGGGAGGAGCCAGGCAAGAAGAGGCCAGAAGGAAGCCTTCTTCCAGATAGTGGGGTATTCTGCGCTTTCCCAGCAGAAGACACACTTTTAACTATGGAAATGTGGTGAGATATGAAACATGACAATTTGTGAAACCAGCCAGAAAGCCATGAAACACAAGCCAGGGTTCTGTTTTCCCCGTGATCCTAGGTATAAATATCACAAAGGCTCAGAGAGCCTTTACTAAACCTGGAAGGAAACCGTGACTTCCTGCCCGGGAGACCCAGCCCCAGCACGCGTGGGATGGGCCGCCCACGCCCGCTGCGATTTCACTCTGCTTCCCAGAGCTTTGACCGCGCCCACTCTCCCTCCCCGCCTCCCCAGGGCAGAGAGTGACCCCGGGCCAGGACAGGGAGGGCAGTCAGCTACAGTGTGAGACGTAAGAACCTCAGTGTCATGCACTCGGGGCCTTTGTTCTAACGTGTCACCAGGCTCCGTGCAGACAAGAAAGCGTCCCAAGGAGATGCAGCAAACATAGAGAAGCCTGCAAGTCCTTTTAAACGTTCGGAAAATCAGCATTTTTTTGTCATAGAAGTTGTTCCAGAAACAGAAATGGGTTATTACCTATACTCAGTGAAGCAAATAGAATACTACTAATAAATCTTGATTATAAGGAAATAAAACTATAGCCCAATATCCTTTATGACTCTAAGATGAACATACTAAGTATAACACTAGAGCATATAAATCTGTAACATACTGATACAAAAAGCTGTAATGGTCAAGTGTGGCTTTCACAGAATATAAGGATAATTCAATATATGGAAATTTATGAACATAATACTCTATACCCGTGGGATAAATTTAAAAAAAAGGAAAACTACGATAATTTCGTTAGAGTCTGAAAATTCAGTCTCTGACCCCAATGAAGACATGTCACTATAGGAGCAGAGCACACTGCCTTATGAGAAAGAGTGGTTTGTGTAGACCAAATGCCAACGGTGAAATACTGGAGTCAGTTTCATAAAATTAAGTCATTTAAGCATTCAGGCGAACCTAGTAGGGCACGGAGCCCCAAAGAGAGAAATAAGCATTGAAAGACCAGGGAGGGAAACAAGCATTATGTATTTATGAGTTATTCATTCAATCACTATTGCGATTAGTAAAAATTCAGTGAAGCACAGAGGAGTATTAAAAATGAACACTATTTCTGTAGACTAAACAACAAACCGGAGAACACAATATTAAAAGCAGGAAACAATGTTAGCGTGAACTCTGGAGAAGCAACAAATCTTACTTAAAAGGAAAAGGACATACAGAGTCCCTGAGACACCCTGCTGCGCGGCCCGGCGGGAATACCGCAGACCTGGCACTCAGCCAGGCTGTGTCCTGAGGCCCGCACTTGTCCACACTGCAACGGCGAAGAAGGTCCTCCTTCCGGCGCGACGAGGCACCTACGCAGCTCCCCAGGTCTTGCCTGCAGAGCCGCGAGCAGCCAGTCGCTGGCCACGGCGGAGACAGCAACCAGGGCAGGGCCAGTCTGTTCCAGGAAGGACTCATGTGGGGGGCGCAGACGTGAGGACCCCAGTGTGTCACAGGAAGGGAGTGTTTCTGCAAATGTGAAGGCAGGTCCTCTCTGCCGGGACAGCAGTCGTCGGAAAGGATCCTATGACGACTGCGTAGCAACAAGGAAAAGACTTGCCCCATAATATCACATTTTAAAACCAGCAGACACGGGGAGAGTACGTGATAGAAGCCATGGGGAAGAGAAGATGCATTGACGAGTAAATTGAAGTAAAGGAATAAAATCAACAGTGCTGGGGGCAATTCTGTCAAATTGTACTGAAAATACGTTTAAAGTGATTTTTGAGCAACAAGAGAGTCTCTAAGCGTGGGTAGCTGCACAGTATTATCTGTGTAGGGGAGAAAAAACAATTTTCCCTCTAGCCTTCTGAGTTCTTATCTGAGACCCCTGCGACAGAAGACAGATGAACCGGAGAAAAAGAAAGGTTTGTGCACCCATGTGTCTCAACGTACAACTGGGAGAGATCCAGGGAAGAACGCGGAACTGCCCGAGGTGGCTTAGAATCTGCCTTCAACACCATTTCATAGAGGAAGGGGAGGGGATGTAGTAGGCCTCTGAAGGGGGAGTAGATATTTTTATTTTTTTAGGAGATAAGAGTGGGCCCTTGGAAGAATAGAGGGGAGGTATGATAACGTGTGACAGAGTCTGCCTGGGTGTGATGTCCACTTCTAGTCTCCTCTCCTGGGCCGAGAGCCAGTCTCCCCTGTTGACGAGACCCGGGGGGGGGGGGGCGGGCGTGTGGCCACTGAGTTCCTTTCGGGGGCTCGGGTGTCCGCAGGCGGAGGAGGGCCGTTCAAAGAGGGCCGGCCTCCGTGCGTTGCTGTTTTTCAAGGGCCCACAGCCCCAAGGGATCCACATACCAAAGTGACATCTTTGTGGCGGCAGAGCCCACTGCCTGTCTCCTACCTGGCTGAACAAACACCTGACCGGCCCACGGACTCCTCGTCTCCAGGAAGGCTTGCGCAGAGACGGACAACCCTGTCGGGATTACAGGTTGTAGCAGGCTGGACAGCATGAGCGCTCACCTGCTTTCAAGCTTGCAGTATTCTCAGTGAAGGGGCCCTGATCGTCTCTGTGTCTGTCGTTGGGCTATGGGACGATTGCCAGAAGATTCTTGCAACTGTAACATCAAAATTTCCGAAGCCCTTCACCAGCCTGCTTTGCTATCAGAAACCGAAGAGATGACCAGTTTGGCTACAGCAGCCGTTAGCACTGGGTACTGGTGATCGATCACAGTTTGATTACAACCATGAGGCAGAAATGTGCCATTTTTGAAACGTTATGATTTTTCACGTACCCTAACCTAGTCTGTGTTATTCCCCAATATCACGATTAGATGACCTGCACCAGAGCATCATCCAACGTCTGGCCGAACTGACCACAGAGGACATACGCTGGCTCCTCTGTAACCCGTGGACTTTGGACACGGTGGTGGAGAGACTCGGGCTGGAAAGGTAATCCTGAGAAGGGAGGTTCGGGGGTTGGGGGGGGGGAGTCAGCAGGATGAGAGCTCTGGGAGCCAGGGATTTGGGCTGATGTGCGCTCGTTGTCCAGAGCCGGCGCCTGGCACAGACCTGGCGCTCCATGTTGGAATGAAGGAGGAAGGAGACCTGACTGTTGATGTTCAGACTGGGTTCTGGGCCGGCACTATCTGCACAGTAGGAAACCTGTGTGTTCCCACGGAGGTGGCGGGAGTCGGCCGTGCTGTCTCGGGTACCTGCACTGGCAACTGGAGATGTGCAGGAGAAAATAAGAGGATGTATCTTAGCAAAGGAAATTAAAAACCTCCAGTAAGCACTTTCAGAGGTGCTCAGACACCCGGCCTGCTAGGTGATGGATTCTTAGCAGCACAACTTGCTCCCTTTTGCCCAGTCCGGGAGCACTGCTTCCCCGGCCTTTCTCTGCCCGCGCCCTTGAGACCCAAATGCCTGGGCCTTGCCTTCCCGCAGCTTGCCCCTGGCCACCCCGGCTCTTCGGCAGAGCTCAGCTAGAGCGTTCTTCCCAGAACAGATTCCGCTGCCTGACACAGGTCATACTTACTCTTGCTTAAGTATCTAGGAGTTTTGTAAAATGAGGTGCAGTGCTAGCCCAAGCTCTTAAATTATAAAACCTGCTTTAGTGACGCAAACCAGAGTTCCCTGCCCTTTTGGGACTGGAAACAGGCCTTTCTACGGAGCCATGTCCTTAGCCCAGCCTCCCACTATTACCGGGCCCTCTTCCACCCTTCAGATCCCTCCGCCTAGCTCCCGTTAACCCCCGAGCCAACTCAGAGCAACATGCATCCCTTCCGCCGCTGGCTGACCAACCGACTTGGACCAAGTCAGGAGGCTTCCAGCGAGCCTGTGCACACGTCTCTCTTCCTTCTTCCGGTGAAGGTCGAGAGGTGGTGTTTCCTTTTTCAGCAGTGGTGGGGCAGACTAGAGGGTTCTGGAAAGGTGGAGTCCTAGGTTCTGTCAACCAATGGCTGTGGGCGCCAATGCAGCACCAACAGGAATCCCCGATTTGGGGTGCAGTGAAAAAGGGAACTTCATTGCCTTTGAAAAGCTCAACTGTGGTACCTGCGCCTGGGAGGCGGACCCGGGGCAGGCCCCTCTCTGGCTAGACTGCTCTGCTCTGCGCAGGTCTGCCCTGTTCTGTGGCAAGATCAGTGTTTCAGCTCAGCTACGAAAGTGGTGCAAAGGGAAAAGTGCACACTCAGAGCCAGAGGACTGCTGACCCATGTGAACAGAAGTCCCCACCCCTGATCCCTGATTGGTATGTTCTCATGCAAATGAGAACTCCACATCTGTGTAGTTTGATTGGTCCAAAACACACTATCCTGATTGGTCAGATCTGCTCCGACTGGTCAGAGCTGTGCAGATCCAATTGGGTGGGGAGAGCCTCAGTGCTATTGGCTGAAACAGGATCCCAGGACCTCCTTTATAAGGGCTGGCTCAGAGGGCAGAAACACAGTGCAGGGCTCTCTCTGCAGCGCAGTTTGCGTGGGCGGTGGGGGGGGCCGCGGGGCATGTAGAAATGGCTGCTAGGTTGTGTTTTTTATTTGTTTAATTTGAGGTCCAGTTAGCCACCAGGAACCCACTCACCTTCTTAAGTACCTTCTTCCTTAGAATCCGCATCCTCTCTGTAATTCCACCACTAACTGGACTGTATGTGAATCACTCTGTTCTTGGGGCCAGCTTTCTCCTCTGTGAAAAGGGGGCTGGGCCTCACTCGTGGTGGAAACGTGGCAGATGGCCGTTCTCCGTGGTGCCGGGAAGCAGCACAGCCCGAACCTAGTATTCTTTCCCCAAGAGCCTGGACGCAGCCTCACAATCCTCTCAGCTCAGTGGTCTCGACCCCTTTCTACCAACATGGCAGGGGGGTTTGCACCTCTTCCCATCTGTGTAGCAGATGGTCGTGGTGAGCCTCTGGGTCTAACGTCCCACAGCTCCGTCTAAGGTTTGGATTGGCGGGGGGCTGCACTCCTGCGTGTACAAAGACCCCCAAAGACAACTCGGGCTAAGCAGCTAAGCTTTTCTTTTTATAAGTGACTCGATGGGGACGAATGTCAGTTGGCTGTTCTACCTGAGGCTGCCGATGGCCTTGCCCAGGGTGCAGAGGGCTCTAAAGCCATTGTCCACAGTTCCTTCGGCACCTTGGGGTCGCTTGGTCTCGGTTGGGTGGCCCCATGAGCCCGCCTTCTTTCCCGCAGACACGCCCTCCCGTAGCCTTAAACCCAGGCCCCGCCCATCGCAGACGCTCTGTTGGAAGGGAGACAGGAATGGACCCAAGGGACCCGTCACTCCAGTCAGACTCTCGAGGGTCACAGGAAGTGGACGGCAGCATCCTGCACAGTCCAGTGGTGTCCACTCGGGGAGCCCCAGACCCTCCCAGACAGATTTACTTAGAACGGTGATCCTCAAAGACCCTGCGGAACTGCTGTTCCAGGAGCTGGACCAAACTAGTCCCACAGGAAGATTAAACAATGGTGGCCTTCTCTCCAGAAAGACAGGGGAAATGTCAGTTAAATGGAGAGGGTTTTATCAGCTGTGCATTTCTTCTTCGTCGTCACTTTTTCTTAAAAGACAAGGCGCTTCTCCTACTGGCCCGGTAACGCGTGAACAGAGCGGAACCTGTGGTGTCTGGGCACAGCCACCCCTCTGTGAGGTCCACTTTGGGTCCCCAAAGTGCACAGCGGTGGCAGGTGCATAGCAAACCAGGAGCTCTCCGGGTGGGAGAGGTAATAGTTGGGTGTCTCCTCGAGGTCCCCCCGCCTTTTCCTTTAGAAGTGTTGGTTGTTGTACTAACTTGTTTGGAGCAAGTCTACTATATGCACAAGACACAACACTTAAAAGGAACAAAAGGAGGAATGGTAAAGAGTAAAGTCCCTCAAGGCTTTGTCCCCAGCTCCCTGGCTCCCCTCCCTGGAAGCAACCACCATATCCAGGTAGATCGCCTTTAAACATTTTTTAAAAACTGAGACTCTATAGGCTCTTAGCACTCTACTTCCCAGGACGGAAGTGCTCACGCTGTTACAGACGTATACATTGTGTATGTGTGCACACAGGTGTATTTATTAAGAAAAGGCTGGGTGTCAAACAAGAAAGAAAAAGGACTCACGGGCACAGAGAGCGGTGTGGGTACTTGGGCCAGGGTGGGGGTGCGTGTGGGGGTGGAAGAGGGTAGAAGGGGGATAGACAGTAATGGAGAAAAACACAGTAAAAAATAAATGAGAGACAAAGGTTTGCTGACAAAAGTCAGCAATGCTTTTCTGTCATGTTTCACTCATCACACCAGTGACCACCTGGCGAGTCAGTCTCGACGCGCAGTGGGGATGGCACGGACGATGCTCTTCCGAGAAAACTCGGCCCCCGGGGGGCCTGGCCGGGAGAGTGCTGTCCCCGCATTCCCAGGCCCTGCTCCCTGAACGTGTTCGAGGGCGCAGGTGGCCAGGGGTCTTTAGCACCCCCTGGGGAGCCCGTCCCAGGGCTGGGAAAGTAACCGTGCGATGTGGCCTCTCTGCAGCGACGAAGCCGGCATGCTGCACTACATCCTGGGACAGGAGCTGATGCGCCGCGAGGAAGGGGACCCGCCATGGGGATGTCTGCCGCGGGAGGAAAGAATGTTCCTCTGGGCTTTCCCCTGGCGGAAGCACAGGCTGGAAAAGACCATCAGGGAACTGAGAGCCATCGCAGACGAAGCTGACTCGGCCCATAAGACGCTCACCCAGACCAACCTGGTAGCCAGCTCTGCAGGTGCCGTGTCCGCGGCCATGACCATCCTGGGTGTGGCCCTGTCGCCCGTGACAGCAGGGGGCAGTCTGTTACTCTCAGTGGCTGGGCAGGGCCTGGGGGCAGCAGCTTTTGTCACCAACGTTGTGACAAATGTCTTAGAAGACAGGAGCAAGTCGTCAGCAAGAGCCCAAGCCAGCAGACTGGTGGCTTTTCCACAGCCACCAGAGCCCGAGGCTGGCGGAGGAGTGAGTCTTTCTCCGGTCGAGACTACATGGGAGGCTGCTCAGAGGTGTTGTGAAATCCTCGGGAGCGTCAGGAAACTTCGCGCCTACTGGGAGGCCCGGGCCAACCCTGGCTTCATGGCGAGGGTCAGGAATTTTGTGACCACACGCCGTGTGCCCTTCTGGAGGGCAACAGGGGTGCAGAGAGCTGTGGGCGGGGGCTCCGCGCTAGCCATGACCCGCGGTGCACGGGTGCTGAGGGCAGCTGGCGTAGCTGGGGCCGGCATCTCACTCGTGCAGGATGTGAAGAGCGTCCTGCGGGACTGGCAGCACCTGAGGGAGGGGGCGAGGACAGAGGTGGCCATGGACCTGAGGACACAGGCCGAGGAGCTGGAGCAGGAGCTGAGCCACCTGTCCAGGCGCTACCAGCAGATCATTCTGAGGCAGAACAGGAGCCTGGAGGCAGGAGGTAGGAACAGAGCTGGGAGGTGGGAAGGAGAGCAAGGCTGCTGGGGTTGTGGGGACGGGGCGGCGGGGGGCGGTTTGCTAAACAGGCAGGCGCACAGATATGTAATCACATCTGCCCTTTCTCAGGGAGGGCCCTCCCATACCCCTCACTTCAGTTAGGTCCCGGTGTTCTTTCTGGCACCCTGTGCCACCCTCCCAAAGCACCAAGCAGACATTTCTGAAATCAGGGGGTGTCCGCTGGGTGCTCGCTGTCTGTCCTCATACAGAGAGCTCACCCTCCAGGCAGGCGGGCGGGCGGGTGGGCCTGCCCCCGGCATCTGGCAGTGCCACGCGCATCGCGGGTGTGCCCAGATGGGTGCCAAACTTCCCGATCGAGGCGATCATTTCAAATGAGTTAGGAAAGGGCTTTTATTTGAAAATGAGTTTGTATTTCTAGGCTCTCTTACTCAGAGACATTAACTACATCTATTTGTAAAAAAAAAAAAAAGGAAATGAAAACTCCCACCAGGAAAATGAAGCAGAATGTCAAAATCCCACTGTAAGTCCACAGAGAGGGTGGCATGGGACTGGGTAGCAAGGCCACTGCCTGTGACGCCGGAAAGGGGCACAGAAGACTCACGGATCCAGTCACCCGTCTACTCATCAGACAGGTTTTAATTAGCGAGGCCGGTGGCGGGGCCGAGGATTAAGGAAGTGGACCCAACCTGGTCTGCATGTTGCAATCGCCTGGGAAACTTCAGAGCACACTGGCGAGCGGGCGGGCTGTACGCCAGGAGCAGGCAACTGGTCTGCGGTAGGGCCCGGGCTCTGGGAGTTCTAAAGCATCTCCCAGTAAGTCTGCTGTGGGGCAGAGTCTGGGAGCCCCCGCTTCAGGGTGTGAGTGCTTTCTTCCCTTTCTCATCGATATATGTTCACCCCGAGGGTTCCCTTTCTGACTTCAGAGTACGCAGGGGCAGGTTTGGGGGTGAAGTGTGAGACACTCGGGCTGCTATGCTGAGGGGTCTGGCCTGCCTCTTCCTTGCCTGTCTTGGAGCAGAAGCTTAGACCGGGTGCAGGCGGGGCCCCTAAGGCCTCCTGAGGAAACAGTCTCTGCCCAAATGGTACTTGGGACAGACTCCAGAGACACCATTAATGAGGAGGAGGGGTAGGTGGTGTGAGGGAGACAGGGCGCTGGGGGAGCCTCTAACAGGTGCCCTTACACCCGAGGTGGGGGGCTGTGTGGGGAGGGGGGCCCCCCACGTGGTGAGGGAAGCTGGTGTCTTCCATCTCTGCTCTGTGGACATTCATTCTGGGCTGGTGTCCTCGCCAGTCACCTCACCGGTCCTTCTGCACGCTGACCGTGTGCCCTTCCAGCTGGAGGGGCCATCCATTCAGCTCTTCAGAGCACAAGCGTCACCGAGCACAGTAGCGCCGGGCAGCCTGCCAGGCCTCGCTGTGGGCCAGCCCGGCAGGTGGAGGGCCACCTTGCTCCGCCCTGCCCTGCCCCACGGGAGCTGGGAACCTGCCACGGGCCCCCAGCTCCGCTGCGGAAGTGACTGCCTCCTTGTCCTTCTCACCCCTGTTGGTGGGGCTGTCTCCACGGACCCTGGTTCAGCAGAGGCAAACTGACACCTTCAGCTACGAAAACCCCAGGTGGGATCACTTCTGCTTGTCACGAGGCACCGAGCCAGGGGGCCAGGAGACCTGCCGCCGTTTGCCACCACCCCCGGGGACTCCAGAGGTGCCGGGGACCCGGCCGGATGTACAAGAGATCAGGTTCTCTGTGTGGACACATAGGGTTAGATTCCAAGACCTAAATATTCGTGTAAATTTCAACTGGGGCTGAGAGACATGGAGAATGTGTGTATTTTCCAAAGTGTATGTAATTACACAGTACAACGATAAGTAAGTGGGAAAACCCCCTTTATTTCATGACACACGATGCTCTACACCCCCCCTCCCCTTCTCACCCGGCCCCCACCCCATCCGTCATGGCAGTCCCACCGTGCACGGGGTCGTTGTCATGGAGTCTGCCGCCCGAGCCTGGACCCGGTCTATGTCCCCAGTGCGCAGTGCCGGGAAACGGCAGCGATTTGAGAAAACGTGTCCCTGAGAGAAAGTGGTCCCCTTTATAGCAGCAGAACGTGGACCTGAAGAATGGGACACCGGGAAAACGCCGCAGCACCAGGAGACTGGTTAAACACACTGTTCGCCCGCTTAAGAGACTGTTAGGTAGCTATCAAATGATGCTTTCAGAGTGAATAGTTGGATTAACATGCAAAATGCTGTTCTGTCCTGTTAAACGAGAAGAGCAGAATGAAACTTGTATATACACTTTCTCACCTTTTACCTGACAAGGGGAAGCGAACCTGTGTGTGGTAGACACACACACACACACACCCCACCCCCCGCTAGGAAACAGCAGCAGGGCCGCCCAGTGGCCGGCTTTACTTAGAGGGAATTTTGGTTACTTCCTTCTTTCTGCCTTTCTGTACTTTTCAAGTTTTCTAGTATGTGAATTACTGTTTTATAAAATGGAAAGAATACATAATAAATGTTTACATCAAAATTAAAGAATTTTTACCCTGGCTGGTGTGGCTCAGTGGATTAAGTGTCAACCTGCGAACCAAAAGGTTGCCAGTTCGATTCCTGGTTAGGGCACATGCCTGGGTGGTGGGGCAGGTCCCCAGCAGGAGGCTCTCAAGAGGCAACCACACATCGATGTTTCTCTCCCTCTTTTTCTCTCTTTCTAAAAGAAATTTTAAGTCTTTAAAAAACAAAAGAATGTTTTTCATTCTAAAGAGGACCAACTTGCCCTTGCTGGTGTGGCTTGAGTGTTGTCCTGTAACTGAAAGGCTGCAGGTTGGATCCCAGGTCAGGTGCATACAGAAGGCAGCCAATCAATGCTTCTCTCTCTGCCTTCCTCTGTCCTTTCTCCTGCCTCTAAAAGCAATGAAAAAATGTCCTTAGGTGAAGATGAAAAATAATAAATACCAACTTATAGTCTGCTGGTGTTCATTTACTTTAAATTTTTTTTTTGAATTTTGATTGGTTCTAGAGAGAGGAGAAGGGAGGGAGAAACAGAGGGAGAGAAACATCCATCAGTTGCCTCTGCACACACTCCAACTGGGGACCAAACCTGCAACTCAGGCCTGTGCCCTGACCAGGGATCGAACCGGTGACCCTTGGTTTTGTGGGACAACACCCAGCCCATGGGGCCACGCCGGGCAGGGCCTGGTTTACTTCTTAGATCACTGGGATGAACAGTCTCTTCACCATCTTCACCACCACATGAAGCCACAGGGAGAGAAGAACGAGTGTTCTCCTTGAAGACCATTCCCGTGACGTGAGCAACAGCTGACGGCCAGGGGAGCCTAGTCTTCTGGGTTCCTGCACTCAGCCCCTACGTGTGTGTTTGTGTGCATGCTGTGCGTGTTTGCATGTGAGCGCGCACGTGCGTGTGCAGGAGTCCCCACACCAACAAGGTGTCTGAGAACCCAATCCAGCGCAGGCACTACCTGCCCAGAAACCCCCAGGCTCCATCCCACGAGGCCACGCCCACTTCAAACACCATCGCCATCAGGGCCCGCTGACCCGCTGACTACAAATACAAAACAGCTGACTACAAATACGAAACAGCTGACTTTAATACACTCCTTCAATTGAACTGATTTGCCAGAACGGCTCACAGAACTCAGGAAAGCCATTCACTCACCACATTGCCGCCTGGTCACAAAGGGTACTGAAGGACACCAGTCAACAGCCAGAAGAAGAGATGCATGGGGGGAGGGAGGTCCTGAGCAAAGGGGCTTGGTCCTCGTGGAGCGGGGGGTCTGGCAGGGCTGTGCACGCCCGAGTTCTGGGTCCCAACGCGGAAGCTCTCTGAACCCCTTCCTTCTGAGGTTTGACAGAGGCCTTATTACACAGGTGTGGCTGATTAACTCATCGGCCACCGGCAGTTGATCCAACCCCCAGCCCCTCCTCCCTCCCTGGAGGTAAGGAAGTAAACCCTAATCACGTGGTTAGTACTCCTGGCAAGTACCCCCCAACCTCAGGTGGTTTGCAAAAGTCACCTCATTAACATCAACCACCATCCATCCATCCAGACACCTGAACACCTATCATGTGAAAGGCACAGTTCTAGGCATCGAGGGTAAAGCAGTAAACAAATCCCTGCCTTCATGGGGTCTATGCTCTCATGGTGATGGTGGGAGAGACAGACAAGAAACATAATTAAATGAGGAAACATAATTGAATTATGCTTACTAATTAGAAACACACATTAGTAAATTAGAAACATAATAAGTAAATTATACAATAGAACACAGGTGGCAAACATAAGGCCCGTGGGCCGCATCCGGCCCTCCACCTTGTTTTATCCGGCCCGGCACCTTGTTTCTACCCAGCAGCAGCACCGAGCTCCTTGCCCCTAGTTAAGGAGTAGTTACATTTATACAGTCCTAACATTACATTCTGCCCTTAGGAGGCAACCCCGAGGCTGCTGTGGCCCCCGGTGAAAATGAGTCTGACACCCCTGCAATAGAATGTAAACTGATGGGTGTTAGGGAGAAAAATACATCTGGGAAGTAAAATACTAAGTATCAGGTGGGCAAGAACGCAATTTAAAATAGGACCATCAGGGGCCCTGGCCGGCTGATGTGGCTCAACTGGGGTGCTGTCCCGTACACCAAAAGGTTGTGGGTTTGATTCCAGAGCAGGGCACATACCTGGGCCAGAGAATCCATCGCCCAGTAGAGGCGTGTATGAGAAGCAATCAATCAATGTTTCTCTCTCACATTGATGTTTCTCTCTCTCCCCGCCCTCACTCTCTAAAAACAATGAAAAAATGTCCTCAGGTGAGGACTAATTAAAAAAAAAAGCACGATCACCAGGAAAACCTAGGTGAGAGGCTCATATCTGAACACAGGCCTGGAGGCGGGGAGGGAGCCGGCCAGGTACCCGGGAGAAGAGCACTCTGGGCAGGGCGCTAGCAACAGCGAGGAGCTTGGCGAGCTTGGGGGCTGCCGGGAGGCCGGCACACGGGGAGCAGAGCGAGGGCTCCGGCAGCACAGAGGGAGGGTGGGAAACGAGGTCGGCCAATGGGAGGCCCAGAGGGGCGGGACCTCACAGGCCGCGGGAGGATCTGAGCTTTCACTCTAAGTGAGAAGGGAAAGCGTCGGGAGATTTCAAGCAGAGGAGTGACGTCATCTAACGCAGTTGCTGACAGCTTCACTCCGGCTGCTGAGCTCAGAAGAGACTACAGGGGGGAAGCCATCACGGGGCTTACCAGCTGGCGAGCCACTGAAATCACCGCTGGAGAGAGAGGGTGGCGGCTTGCACCAGTGCGGTGACAGTAGAGGGGGTGCGAAGCGGCCAGATTGTGGGCAGGTTCTGGAGGCAGATCCGACAGGACTCGCTCCTGCACTGGACGAGGGGTGCGACCCCGAGAGAGGAGCCAGGATGACTCCGGGGTTTTCTGTCCCCTCCCATGCCCCAGGACGGCTCTTGTCTGGCCCGCCCACGGCCTCCATGCTGCCGAGTCAGACCAGTGCTCTAACCCTGTTGTCCTGGACCTCACATCCTTGCGGCCTCCTCCACCGGGCTCCGGTCAAGGGGCCAGTGCTGAAACGGGCAGGTGTGAGGTGCGTGTGTTGGTGGGCGGGGGCTGTAGGGCGAGGTCAAGCTCAGTTTGGAGGCGAAGTTTGAGAGGCCCACTAGACCGGCGTGCGGAGACGCCGAGTGGATGATGAGATAGGAATCTACATTCAAAATGTGGGGTCTCCAACCACAAACTGGTCAGAGGTGTGAATTTGTAAATAAGTGATATTTAAAATTATGAGCATGACCAGGATCCTCAAAGCAGTGAACTTGGCTTCCAAAGGGGAAATGCATGAGGTCAGCGCCCTGGGGCACCCCGGCTTGAAGAGGATGGGGGTGTCGAGGGACCCTCCAAGGAGACCAGAGGGATCAGCCCCTGAGGTCAGAGGGGAGCAGCAGCGGGGTGTCCAGCAGCCCAGTGGAGGAGGCCTCCAGGATGTGGGGTTCAGGACAGTGGGGCTGGAGCCCTGGTTGGACTCAGCAACAGGCAGGCCATGGGCGGCCGTGACAGGAGCGGACACGGTGGGACAGTAGAGGAGAAAGAGCTTGACTAGAGAGGAAAGACACTGTAGACTTGGGACAGATACAGCTTTTAACGAGTTTTGTTGAATAGTCTTCCAGAAAATGAGGGGACAGCTGGGGTGAGGCAGAAAGTGAGGCCCAGGAAGGGGGGGATGGTAGGACAAAGGTGCACCAACCTGTGATGAGGAAGAGGTGGTGGCGGCAATGCCCAGGCCTGCCCCCCACTCTTCCGGCCCCTGGTGCCCACGTTGGGCTGCAAGCTGGACTGGGCCCCGTCTCTGGACTTCACCCACCTGCCTGTGCCTCTGGGCCGGCTCCAGCCCCTTTCCCCACACCCCTGGCAACGTGGGTTTTAGAAATACCTATCACCTTAGCAACGAAATCTGATGTATGACATTCTATAGGTAAGTTCTCACTTTTCGCACGCATATTTGAAGAGAGTCTGGTACTGGGGAACCTTTTGCACGATTCCCTATCAACGATAAGGTTCATGCCAACCTTCCCAGTGTGAGGTATCCTTGTCCACACCCAGCAACTCCTCGACCCCTGTTCCCACCTCCAAAGAAGGGAAGAAACAGTCACCAATGGTGGCTGTGCACTAGCAGCTCTGCTGAATGCATCACCGATTTTATTGAATAATAATGGCATGTAGTCATTAAATGCTCAGCACTTTCTAGACACTCTGCAAAGTTCTCTATGTCTATCGTCCAATGTGATCCTTGCAACTCGCTACGACTCTGCTTTATAGGTGAGGCGTCTGAGGCACCAAGACATTAGTTGTCAAGGCCAACCAGGTAGCAGATGGACAGGGACTGAACTCAGAACCCTCCACCTCTTGATTCCTTGCTCTTAACCACCGCCCAACTGCCCGCCCAATCAGGAAGGGCGGGCTCTGAGGGGCTGAGTACCTTCCTCCAGGTCACACAGTCCAGGAGAGGTAGGGCTGGAATTTGTGTGTGTCCGTGTTTGTACGCCTAAGGCAGACATCAAGTTTGTGTAAGTGAGCCAGTTCTGGCCTCGCTTACTTTGAAAACTTATTTGGAGATTTAGTATTTTTCACATGCGCACAGGCACACCAAAATTGGTAGTCACGTTTGGTCTGTATCTGATGGCGGATTTTTTTTTTTTTTTCACAAGCATTGATCTAAACTCTTCCAGAGATTTCTGGAGCCTTGTGATTTGTCTCAGGCAGGAATCAGCAAATCACAGCCCACAGGCCAAATCTGGCCGGCCACCTGTTCTTACAAATAAAGTTTTACTGGAACACAGCCATGCCCATTTATCTACTATCCCCTCTGGTTGCTTTCCTGCTACAATGGCAGAGAGTTGCTGGCAGAAACTGTGTGGCCTGCAAACCTTAAAATATTCACCCTCTGGCACTTGACAAAGTTTGCTGAGTCCTGGTGTAACTGTTTCAAGAGAAGCGACTTTTGAGTACCTAGAATTCCGGCTTTCAAAAGGA